CTATCCTGCTGAGTGCTCTTGACTAGTCACGTCCTTCCAGCCATTTTAAAAACAATAGTGGCAGATATGCAAGCTGCTGATAGGCTCAGCAGGACAGATCAAACACACAGATGCAATTGCTGTACATTGAACAGTGAAGTAGGATAAAATTCGGATACTTCAAATCGTTTCGTAGCTAGCATCCGATTGCTTCAAATTGAATCTTTCCTAACAGGATTTATTGTAAACAGTGTCACATCATTTGTGAGTTCTGCAATAATTTCAGTCAAAGCCAGTACAAGATATGGGAGGTGAGAGATTTATGTGGTATATCTATGCTAATTTATACACCGATTATGAAGAGACTTGTTTTTATTTTTAAATTACTTGCAAAATAACCATAATTAGGAAAAATTTTCTAAAATTTTGATGTTATCAAATGGAGCAACTGTAAAACACTGAGAAAAAAAAATTAAATCCACTTTGTTTATTTCAACACCTGTTTTGCAATTTCAAGTCCACAGCCCTACTTTCTCTCCCTTTTACCTAATTGTTAGAAAACATTGAAACTATAAGCAATTAATTCATAAGGTATGCTTTTCATATTGTTTCAAAACAATATGAAATCTAACTATACTGATCACGATGAGTGATCAATGCATCCTATCAGTAAAAAGAAAAAAAAAGAAACCTAAAACTAAACTAGATTGAGCCTTACAAATTATGTTTAAATTCCTTTATAATAAAATGAGAAGATGGTGGTATTTCAAGTGATCAAAACTATTATTCATATTTGAGTTCAGTTCCCAATACTTTATTGGAGTTCATAAAAGAGCAATTCAAAGAAAGTATAGTACAAAAATAGTACTTTGCATGGATAAGAATTTGGTGACACTCCACATACTTGATACCTTTAGCTGCTAATAACAAAGAGCTCTAAGAAGGTACTATTTCACAGTCACACATCCTTTCCTGGGATCCAAATAAGGGAAATTTAAAAAGAAAAATAAAGAAAGTAGGAACAAGTGACTAATCTGTTCTTTTTTCCTCCTGCTCTAAAAAATAACAGCAAAAACAAAGTTCCTTCTATTGTGTTTGACTTTTAGATTATAACATGAATAGGAGAACACTGGTCTCAGATGGATCTTAGTCTCAGATAATCTGGAATCTTGGTAGAAAATGGCCATTGTGAGGGTTTCAGTTTGGTCTTTCTCCATTTGATGGAGAAAATAACCCATGTACAAGTTCATCCTATCATTCTAGATAAGGAAAGAGTTTTCTATTTTTGAATCTAAGAATGTTGTTTTCTTATTTTCTTTAAGCAAATGCTTTGCATGACTCACAATTCAAAAGGGAAGGTAAAAAAAATTAACCTTTGGGTGGAGGCAGCCCTATGTGTATTTTAATAACTTTACTAATCACAGCACAAATAATTAAAAATGAGTCATATTCCATATTTATTAACAAAAGTCAAACTTACGTGCAGCTTTTTCCTCCATGTTCCTCTCACTCAAGGATATACCTTTCTTTTTCTGCTTCTTCCCACCTCCCCCCTGCCTGTTTCTTGGACACCTCCAGCCCCCATTGACAATCAAAATGCAGGGCTATAAATGTAAGGGCACTATACATCATGAGGTAAGTCTGGAGAACATGTCCTCTATCAAAATGCACATGAATCTCTGGTACAGTTGAAATTCCAGAAACATGCTGAAGTTCATTTTGCATGCTAAGCAGGGTCAGAAATGTGAGGGCTATGTGATCACCCTTGTCTATCAGGGAATCCCAAGTTGATAGGTCACATCTGTGAATTTTCAGCTGGGGTTCTTACCACTTGATTCCTGCTCTTTCAAATCCAAGACTCCTAATTGAAATACAAATCTGACAATCCAATAATGTTCTAATGAAAAATGTAGTTTGTGAACACTTAACTGCTGAGGAGCTGACAGAGAACTTCAAAATGATAGAAAAAAAAATATCTTTCCGAGCAAGAGCATAAAGCTTGAGCAGTACAGGGAAACAAATGTAAAGCAAAGGGCCATTTTCTACTCTGACTATTAGCTATCCTTCTACCCCCCAGTTTGTATGTTCAGCCACTCTCCTCTTAGGCAAGGGCTAGTGTCTTTCAAGTCATCCCTAAATCCCAAGACAGGATAAAGTGACATCTTAGCATACTTCCAGACCAGTCAGTATCTGCATTTCATGATGTGTGTGTGGAGGGGGGGGGGGGAAGG